TGTGAAAAGCTTACGGCACGAGCGCGGTCATGACACGGGAAGGTATGCGCCAATCCAATCACACTGCGCGATAATTTACTCTTCATCCAATCAAATGCCCGAAACACGGCGAGATCACGGCGCACACATGGTCACGCCAAAGTCGCGGCGCTGCCAGACTAATCACATTACACGAGAGAGAAAAATAGCCAATCAAAATTCTAGAAAACATCACCGTCACGGCGACACGGCACGCATACGGCACCGAGCTTTTCACTGCTCTAAGTATAGTAACATTTCGTCATTCCTGTATCGTGACTATCTAGTCTAGTAGTTAGTATTGGTAGGAGAATGGTGATGGCGAGCCTTGAGCCTTAGATTGACTATACTCGAATGCCTATGAAAATCGCGATAGTAATCCAAATCCTGTGGATTGAGTGTTGCGTTGGTAGGCGAAGGGACACCATTCATACAAAACCTTGAACATGCACAGAAGTGGTCGCCACAATACGGGGTTGTTCTGTATCGGAAGGGAGGTAGCGTAGGGTATGCTTGCGTCGTCTCGGTGGGTGATCTGACGGGGCTTTGAGGTGACAGAGTCGTCGAAGAGGATTCGCTGGCTGGAACTATGAATCCTTTCTGATTTGGACTCTCTTGTCTTCGGCTTTTTGCGCGTCTATTTTGAAACCAAATCTAACAACAACCACAACAAAGATGTTTGTCAATACCTTAGCTATATTAATGGACCTTTCTCAAAATTATTTTTGCGAGGCTAACATGGAAATACAAAAGAAATGCCACAAATTCCACCGACAAAAAGTGTGATTTCTTTTGTGTTTTCATGTTAGCCTCACATCCAAGATAATTTCGAAAAGAGTCCATCGGAACGTGGGAAATTTCCTACAAACTAGGTCAGTTAATTTGGTACGAAACCTCCATTAAAAGTCATGTAATAGATGACGTCATAATGTTTCCATGACGACCACTACATTCTTGATTGATGATCACTTTTTAACTGGTAAAATGCATGCCAGAGAGTCAAACATTTCCTTCATTTAGTTCCAAGTATGTCAAATATCTTTGGCTGTCTTCACTCTAGATTGCGTGCTTGATCCTGAACCCTTTTAATATTATTTCTTAAACTTTCTACGACATTTCAGTCAGTTATTCCATACTGTGTCCTGTAAGAAGACACAGATTATATGTTCTTCCCCTTTTTAACATTTCCACTTGAACTCTATCTTTCGATCGATCACGTATATAATCAATGTTAGCTATTCGATGCTCTATTCACGATATACGAATCTATGTCGTTTATTGGCACGCGCATCACATCAGTGTCAAGTGTCATATTTTTTTAGTATTAAGAACGCTGTTGTCATAGATAATGTTTAATAATCTGAACCTAAGAGCAGCATTTCGTCAGTCTTGTATAGGAACGCAAAACCTAATGCGACAAACACCTTCACCTTCCATTTATTTTACCCTTATTTTCCCCAATGGATGCCTTTCTATGTCTGGTATTTTATTTGCCGTCAGATTTTGTTTTATACACCCTCTTTACGGTAGACACCCCTAGTACCATCTTGTCCTTTGCTTAACTTATGCGCGCTTATCTTACCATATTTACTGTGTGTGCCCTTATCTTCAATTCTCTCCTATGTGAACCCCCTTCTAGCTATAAGCACCATTGGTACAATTGCTGCTGTTACACTCGGTACTTTATTTGCTATCCTTTACTATATACGCGAGTACCATTAGTATCATTGTTGTCCTACATCTGTACGCGTTCCCTTTTTACCTTTATTTGCTATGTATACCCAAAGTATGTGTATGTGTATGTGTATGGCGCGATGATGGCGGCCACGCGGACATTGAGCTCCGTGGTTTTAAATCTTTTAACTATATATTTACTAGCCTCTCTACTTCAAAGACCTTTCCAAATTCAACAGTATTCATTACTTGAATTCAAGATTGATGATTCCACTGGAACTAAGTCATTTAGCAGTAATATTGGATGGAGTATTCTTGCAAAACTTCATGGCAGGTTCGTCAGGTGTAATATCAAGAATGGTAATTGCTTTAAATCTCGACTACCGGCGAGTAAATGGACCAAACATGGCCAAACTTCTCTACTTATTCCTGGCCACGATCCACCTTTTGATATCACTGTCTTTTCAGATATTTCACCAAATCCTGGACCACTACATGCGATAAACTTTCAAGCTTCGAATAATTTGCATAAAAACTCTCAAAAACACACTTCGAATACAATGAAATATTCTAGAGACAAACTTTTCAAAATTCGACGCACTTCTTCATGTACTCTTACTGATTCAAATTACTGGGATTTGAAAACTACAGATCTTTTTCATTCAAGAGGAAAAAGGGTTGGATGTAAACCATCAAACAGGAATATTAAAGTTAGAATTTCTACAATCAACAATCCATCTTCTAAAGAGAACAACAGCTATTGTACACAGGACGAAAACCAAGGTGTGAATTGGAATAATTTGGTTCAAGTGGAAACATCATCGTCAAGAAGAAACCATGTGAGCATTGGCGCTATTGCAAATACTACTATAAACACTACTCCAAATACCACAACACTATTCCCTGTTCCTAAATTTATGTTTCTCAACGTATGCGGATTAACCAAAACTAAAAACAACATTCGCGCAACTACTGGACTGGAATTGGATTTGTATGCTAATGACATTGATGTTTGCGTTATATCAGAAACACATCTCAAAAATAGCATT